AAGTCATAGACATCTATCCTGGCTCCCTCGGGTCTGCACCGGGGTCTTGGGGAGGGAGGGAGTTCGTGGAAATCGAGCTGAAGGGGGAGTCTTCGGTCGGCCCCTCACCTCATCCCGGTTCAGGATGGGCCCTTGAGCTGCCCGAGCAGGGTGCGACCTGGTAAGGACCAGCCGCCACCACTACGGGCAGGGCAGGGCGATGAAACCCTGATCGCTGTGGCGAGGTCTGTCCTCATCAGCGGTGTGGGCCACACGGCAGGCCCGGGGTCCTTGCGGTGGCTGTTAGGGAGGAGCACGTGGAGTGTTCTCTGGGAGCATCCAAGCAGATATAGTCCAGCTTGTCTTCCTCAGGAACCACCTTCACAGGCCAGGAGCTAACATCCCATCCTCCACTTCGCACCCTTGCCACCCATACCCACTAGTTCACATCTGTATCCCACATTTCAGTAAGCGTAGAAGAGTTATGCTGTCGCAAAGTTATTTCCACATCGAAGGCTTTTTCACTGTAACAGCATGTTCTAGAGAGCGGGCATGGGAGGGTCAGGAGACCTCTCCAAGACCATTGCCCAGTTTGGATCGGTGCCAAGAAAGAAGCCCAATAAGATGCGATCTCTGAATTGCTAGTGACACTAGTCACATGTAGGAAATATTTATTTGAAAGAGGGTAGAGCTTTGCTGAACGAAAGGGACTGCTCTGGAATCTAACCAATCATAACTGTCTTAGAGAGCGAACTGTTTCCCTCCACCGAAACTCCCTCCAGCCTCATGACAGGGCTACATTTCTCAAAGAGCTAATTCCACATTTTTCCAGTGAGATGAGGAACGTTACTGTGTGGTAAATCCCACGAACAGGCCCATTTTTTCACCAATTAATCTTTGCCCACAGGCATGACCTAAAACAGACCATTTTCGTGTATGGTCATAGTTCACATACATAGCAGAAATCACTGAGAAATTAGCATAAGAATTTGACCAAGATGGATAAAGACCAGAATTCCTGTTTCTTTCCTGTCTCTTGGATAAAGGAAAAAAATTTTTTTTGAGTTTTCACATTGACTATCAAATGCTTGTCCTAAAAGATAAAAATCTAAGGGGGTCTTTTTTCCACCATGACAATTAAAAAAATTTTTTTAATCTCATTTTAAAAGAACTCAGCAAATATATTTTTAAATGATATTTAATGATATGCACAGAATTCATAACTACCAGTCAAAAATTAAAGTAGGAAACTTGATACATTTGAGCCTATACAGCAGGGCATGACAAAAGTTGCACTAGCATTACTGAATTTGCTCACTAAATTCTCATAGGAAATAATAAATTGATTTGAAAATTAGAACAAATAAAGATTAAAGTGGTTTTTTTTCCAAACTTTGGATTGTCATCTGAGGTAAGATAGGCATGGGTTGTAACGGAAGTAACAGTGGACTAGAAATCCATTTCATAGGTTTTAGTCCTGGCCCAGCAGCCATTCATGCCTTGACATGAAGTAAGTCACATAACTTTTACAGGCCTCATTCTTCTCAGCTGTAAAATGAAACAATTTAATGTGATGACCTTTAAAGTCCATTCCAGTCTTAAAAAGCTATGGTTTTTGAACACGGGGTGCATATATCCTTTCCAGTTAGTATTTTGGGTTTCTTTGGATATATGCCCAGAAGTGGAATTCCTGGGTCATAAGGCTGTTCCATTTTTAATTTTTGAGGAAATTCCATATTGTTTTCCATAGTGGCTGCACCAGTCTGCATTCCCACCAACAGTGCACGAGAGTTCCCTTTTCTCCACATCCTCACCAACGCTTGCTGTTTGTTGATTTATTGATGATAGCCACTCTGACAGGTATGAAATGATATCTCATTGTGGTTTTAATTTGCATTTCTCTGACGATTAGTGACGCTGCACATCTTTTCATATATCTGTTGGCCATCTGTATGTCCTCTTTGGAGAAGTATCTATTCAGGTCCTCTGCCCATTTTTAAAGTAGATTGTTTGGTTTTTTGGTTTTGAGTTGTCTGAATTCTTTATAAATTTTGGATAGTAACTCTTTATAGGATGTATTATTGGCAGATATCTTCTTCCATTCAGTAGGTTGTCTTTTCATTTTATTAACCCTACCAGACCGCTGTACCGATTTTTCGGTAATTTCCACACAAAGGTGGAATATTGGTGCTAGATGAAAGGTAGATGAAAGGTAGACCTATTTTCTACAATGTCTCCAAGTTCCATCTTATTCTAACCACTTGTTTGCATGTAACTAACATTTTTCTATATCATGTTGGTTTTTTCTCTTTAATGCTCAGGAGCCCAGGTATAGGGGACAGTTAGGTTCAGGGCCTCAGGTCTGGTAGGATTAATGGTTTCCTTTGCTGTGCAAAACTTTTTAGTTTGATATAATCTCTATGTTCATTGCAGCATTATTTACCAGAACCAAGATATGAAAGAAAACTAAGTGCCCATCAATAGAAGAGTGGATAAAACAGTTGTGATACATACATATACAACTCGGCCATAAAAAAAGAATGAAGTCTTATCATTTTGCAACATGGATGGACCTAGAAAGTATTATGCTAAGTAAAATAAGTCAGACAGAGAAAGATAAATACCACATGATTTCACTTATATGTAAAATCTAAAGAACAAAATAAGTGAACAAAAAACAGAAACAGACTCATAGATGCAGAAAATAAACTGATGGTTGCCAGCGTGGATGGGAATTGGGGGGCTGGGTGAAAAGGGTGAAGGCATTAAGAAGTACAAATTGGTAGTTACAAAATAGTCACAGGAATTAAAGTACAGCATAGGGAATAGAGTCAATAATATAGTGGGTAGGATCACTTTGTAAATTACATAATTGTCTAACCACAGTGCTGTACATCTAAAACTAATATAAAGTAATACTGAATATTAAAAGAAAACTATGGTTTCTCTATATCCAAAATATAAAGGTGGGCAAACGTAGGTTAATAATAAGAAATAGTACATTAATTAATAATACAAGAATAATCTCATTTTCATACTCACAGCTATAAACCTACTTTTGCCAACCACTGTGTATAGGCATCCTTCAGATTCATGTTTCAGATTGCCAACAGCAACCTTTGAATTATTTGTACTGAACTAAAGCAAACTCTCAGTGTTGACAAATAAAAATAAAAGGATTTACATCAAAGGACTGTTATCTGGAAAATAAAATGTAAAGCCCTCTTCATACTTCCCAGTTCTCCCTTAGCTTTCTTTCCACTGCCTTCCCAGGTCTTTATTAAAAGCCCAATCCTTTTAATAACCTATAGCTGGAATGCATCTCGCTGAACACTAACTCCAGCACCTGAGAGGATTCTAAAATAAAATGTAAGGACGTGACCGAAGAGCATTGGTTTACTTAACTAAAAATATGCACAAAAAGAATGAGCTAGCTATGTTTATAGCAACTCCCTTCTCTGTTTACAATCTTTGTCAAAGATTATTAGTAGGCTGCATTTCTTAGAGTTCAGATTAGTTAATGATTCTTTTGCCAGATTTAAACAACCAATAGAATTGCTTAGCTCTTGTCTTTAGGTTTGAGAATATATGACCATTGTCTGTTGTGAGAAAAAGACCTAAAGTCACAGCATACCTTTGACTTTTCTCGGCACTCTATGCCCTAGCCTTTTACCTGACTTTGCCTGCCCTCACATTTCGGCCCATGATCTCTCTACTAGAATCATTCTCCCAGTTGGATGATCCATGACAGGAAATCCTAGCGCTTACCACCCAGCTCCCGAGGCATTCTGGTGCAATGCAACCCCCTGTGTATTCCTATACTCTAATAATGAGGTCCTTGCCCTCCAGCTCTAAAGACCCGGTTTTCCCATGTGCCTGAGTTCGTAGCATGAAAATTTTGTTTTGTTCTCCATTTTAGGTGCCCACACCAATAAGCTGGCAATGCCCCTCATTAATTTTGGAAGAACTAAAACCTAGGTCTTTCTGGTCTTAGGGCCAAACGCTCTGCCCCTAAACACTAGTCTAAGCTAAGGACCTCACTGACAGACATTCTAGATGCCACCGCCTGCCCACATGTCTAACCTTACAAGCACCAGTTGAGATGTCCTGTTACTGGGCTCACCCAACTGTTAAAACACTCACTTCATCTGAGACCTGTGTTGCTCATCATTGCTGAATTGGAAGTTACCCTCTCTGTGAATTCTCTTGTTCTCTCCTTGAATATTCATCCACAGGAAGCCGAAATAACAAATGGGCCTCATTTTAGGTCTCAGATTCTCCCCCCACCTGCCATGTAAAAACCCCACCCTTTTACTTGTGGTTTTAATCTTTTTCAGAAGATAGAGCTATTTTCTAATTCTAAAATCCATATTTAGAGTAGTATTCCCAGGAATTCCCTTCCAAAATTAAATATTTTTGAATGGATCAGAGCAGCTGCACCTTCGGTAACTCAATTATATTTATCATGGAATACACGTGGGAATGGGTGGTACTGGGGGTTGGATGAGGGATAGGCCTCGGCCCAGTCATTATCACTGTCCCATGATCAGACAACTGACTCCTCGGGATGGTTTATGGAGCAGCCTCTAAAGATTTGCTCAGAGATGTTGAAAAGCAGGGAAAAAAGATTACCAGTTTTTAAGAGCTTTTTATTACTGTTTCCATCCTGCATAGTCACCTCTCAACCATGGTTTTCAGACGTTTTTCAAAAGAAATATGCAAATAAAAGCGGACTGCTCTTATTGAAGTGGAAGTGTCTGGGCCCAGGTCTCTGACACCTTCTCCTCTGACCTGAAGCCCCTCTTTGGAACCCGTGGGCAAGAAGAAAGGGGGAGAGGGAGAGAAAAGAAAGAAAGAATTTAAATTTCTAAAAATATGGCATAAAAAGTGGATTTGAATTGGATTTGGGAAAATGCTTAGAACTGAGTGCTCTTTCTAAAGTAGTTTTTTTCAGAATTCAGTAATAAAGCAGCCTTGATTTCTTAGGGATAATGATTTAAAGCAGTCTGACAAATTCTAAATATCAAAGTTTAAGGAATGGCCAGTAAATTCACCAGTATCACTGAGATTCCAAATTCCTAAAACTAGAGCTTTCCCTAAGATAAATAAAAACCTAAAAAGTTTTTGAAAGAAGGAAAGAGTTAACATTTTCAATCACACATTTAAAAATAAAAACAGCCCTGGCTGGTGTTCCTAAGTGGTTACAGCTTCTCTCTCTCTTTCTCTCTCTCTCTCTCTCTCTCTCTCTCTCTCTCTCTCCGCAACCCTAAGGATATCGGAGTTTGATTTCTGGTCAAGGGCACATACCTGGGTTGCAGGTCAATCCCCACCCAGTAGGGGCTCCTTTGGGAGGCAACCAATCAATGTGTCTCTCTCACATAGATGTTTCTCTCCCTCACTCCCTCTCTTCCTCTCCCTCCCTTCCTCCATTCCACTCTCTAAGAAGCAATGGAAAAAATATCCTCTATCCTTCGGTGAGGATTAATTTAAAAATTTTTTAAAAACAACAGACAGGTTTTTCTCTATGGAAAGGATCCTTCTGGTTCCAGTGTGCGGGGGAACTTGGTGCCTACGTGCGCAAACAAAACCTATATCCCTTCCGGCTAGCACTCATCTCAGAATCTGAACCTCACTTTGACTCACTGTTTAGTTCATCTCAACAATATTTATTGAGTGCTCACTATATGCAGAGCACTGTGTGAGATGCCACTTAGAACATTAAAAAACTATGAAGTTCTTTATAGAACTAACTTCCTCAAGCTGCAGCTCTATGTGGGAATGCACATAGGCTACTAAAGAGCACAGGGAATATTTGGAAAAACTGTGGGAAACAGTGCTTTGAGAACTACTAAAGAAGAGAATTATTCTTTTCCCATCTTCCCACTGTGTGGTTCTCTCAGCTTGTTTTCACAATTTGTTTCTCCTCTACCAATTCCAGTTCTCTCCCCTGTGTCTGTTTGGATGGCTGTCTTCCTGTCTCTTTCTCCTCTTCCTGCCTTCTCTCTTTCATCTCTGTGTTTAATTCCCTTACTTTTACTTCCTCGGTATGTACCACTCCCCTCCACCAACATTTAATCTCTCTCTCTTAGTGAATGTGTTCATTATTTCAGTGTTTATTAAGTGCCTGGCACTGTGCTGGCTGACAAGGATACAATGATGAAAGGTATGGTTCCTTTCCTTCAGGGTTCATAGTGAAAGCTAGAAAAGTAAAAAGACTACTAGCGCCCAGTGTGATAGGAACTGTGATGTAGAGGCAAGTAAACTCAGTGTACTCTGGGAGCTCAATGGAGGGACCCCTAACCCAGACCACAGTAGGAATATCAGGTACAGAGTAGTGCTCTTGAGAAAGATTTCTGGGCATGATATTAAAAGACTAGAGGCCCTCAACTGCCCCCTCCACCAGCCTAGTCACCCCTCACTGCCCCCTCTGCCAGCCTAATCACCCCCAACTGCCCCCCCTGCCGGCCTTGTCACCCCCAACTGCACCCTCCCCCCCCGCCAGCCACCCCCAACTGCACCCCCCCCCCACCAGCCTGGTCGTCCCTCACTAACCCCCTGCCGGCCTGAGTCATAGACAGCCATCTTGTGAAGAGCATGAGGGTTAATTTGCATATTACCTCTTTATTATATAGGATAAGTCAAACTTACCTAAATAAAGTAGGGAGAAAAGATAATCTGGGCAAAGGAAGCAAGCAAGTGTAAAAATCTAGAGGAAAGCAATTATGGTGCATTTGGATAATTTCAAGTGTCCTGTGGCTGGCTCATAAAGTATGAGGGGCCAAGAACAAAAGTATAAGGTATGAGAAGGCCAGAGTCATGGTGTGGTCTTAAAATAGAACTGGAGTTTATTGTTCCTATTA